TTTAATTTTTGATACATATGTAGATAAGTTCTCTTTATTGTATGACAAGGTTTCGGGCAGGGACGTTGTAAGAAGAGCTGGCGTTGAGCTTTTGCAGGTTCGCGAATCTGTGCATGTGCGCATTTTAGGCCGAGCAAGATTTCGTAGCTGCACAGCTTCAGAGACGAACGCTTCAACAGGCTTTGTTTGATGTGCAAAAGAAACGCGGTGACGTAAATAAGCAGTTGGATGTCGTTTCACGTGCTGACGATTCCTTCCTTTCTCTGGTCACCAAGGAGCACGAAGTGGGTGCTGCGACTGTCTCCACTATTCCTGCTTGCTGGAGAGGGGCATATTTTCAGACAATATTTTTTGTGCACAGTTAGCTCGCGAAGAGAATCAGTTGGCTTCACAGCACCATGAGGCTGATCTGGTTGAGCGCGCTACCTATGAGAAGTTTACGAGTCTTCTGCGTTATTTGCACGTGGAAGAACGGAATTACGACACACGAATGCGTCAATGGGCGCTCGTTGGTTCATTAGTCATAGGATTCACCTCTGCATTCGTCACGTGGCTTCGATTTCGTACCCCCAAATTTGTAGGTCTCGTTTACACTTTTTGTTACATCTTCGGCTGTTGTCGATTCTTCTGTTTTCCAGCAGGACTTACGCGATAGCGTCGAGAAAGTTCGCGACGTGTATACCTCCCAGGTAAACCCTCGTTCTAGTTTAGGTTTCTTCTGTACACTGTCACTGCATTTTTTTAATGCTTCCTTTGTTGGAATTTGTAGATGGAAATTGCCTCAAAGCTAAGCTTACTCTCCGAAAGGCTGCAAAAATACGTATACCGATTTTCCAGTCCCCGCTTTAAGTTTTGATAATTAGTCTCGAATGTAGTTCAGTTTTTGCTTTTCTGGAGGCTGGTTGTTTGCATCTCTAGCCATCTGCATCTTCTTTTTCCCAATTCTAGGATGATTTTCGCGAGAGTGTAGAAAAACTGCAGGAAGTACATTCTTGTCAGGTTGGTTTTTTTATTGTTTGTCCAGCAACATTATTGTCCATTAGTACACCTTTATAATGCGTTCTCTTGTTATGGTTGCATAGATGGAGATAAGATCGAAAATGGCCACGCTCCTTGAAACACTCCAGAAAAACGTATGCCTACTTTCTTGACAGAAACAAAATTGTCGCCATTTCCGTTCATCTGGTGTTTCGAATTTAGCGGAACAAGGCCGGTGAAGAAGTTCAGCCTGTAGGACCGCCATTCCCAATTAAAACATCGGTTGTAAACTCCGAAAAGAGCGGTTTTGAAACGAAAATCATCTATGCCGCCTCGGCTTGTGTTCTCTTCTGTGCAATTTACTTCCTCTCCCGTTAAGATTATGTAGGCCCCTCTACTTATTTTATCCCTATGACGATTTAGTACCTTGCGTAGTTTTCTTCCATGAATATTGGTTGGGAGAGTTGAGCACGTTTCCCCGTAGGAAGGAATATTTAGCGTTAACTTCGGTGTCATTCATAGATGGCATTGAAATGTCACTGCGACCTAGGTTGAGGCATGGATTATGACGCCATTAATAGGGATGTTTTGAAGCTAATGTGCTTCAAACCTGGACAGTCAGTACTTGAGTACACTACTTTTTTTGGGGTCAACTAGTGGCATAGAATCAGGAAGGCTGGCGAGCAAGTATACCAGAACAGCTGTTGCTGATTGGCTTATTTGAGGCGACAAACTTGGGCATTTAGGCGCTGATCAGACGTATGATTATTTGAGACATGGTCCGGGGTGGGTTTCTAGTCTTTGCTTTACAAGTCAAGAGGTGGTGGATGCACGGATCAGCTGTTTTCAGTCGATACTTTCGTGTCGTAGACGTAATGAGGAT